CTCATAGTCATATAAGCTGAGCTTCACATGGTGTACCAGTCCCTTGGACTAATTGTTTCCATGTGTCTTTGGTTTCCTTCATTCTTTGCTCTGGATGAGGACAGACCCATTGTTGCATCTATATGATCGCTTGTAAGCTTTTAAGATCCCAGTCGCTACTTGCCAAAGTAGGAGTGGAACAATGTTTTTGTGTAATATGTTATGCATATTGAGCTTGATGTCCCCTGGGGCTATGGTCCTGAACCCACAGATTGAACTGCTTGCCCCCTCTGGGTAGCTGGCTGTGGCTAAGAAGTGATCACAACCTTGCCCCTTGTCAGCTCTACTATATATCTGGGAATTCTTACAGAACATACAAATCCATTTATAGAAACATAGTCTGCCAACCCTATACATGGTCTTGGACACACTCCCCATTGTCTAGGCATACCCAATAGTTCAGCCTGTCCACCCATCTATCTGTCTGTATGACAGTGTTTGCCTTCACTAACAATGCAGTACTGTATGTGTCAAAGCGTTCATCTTTGTTGTCTGTACCTCCCATGAACCTCTCTATGTCTTCCTCTTCCTCAATGTCACCATGTTGATCACTTATATTCAGTACATTGCCATTCTCTTCACCCAAATCAGTACTTGTCTCTACCTATCTAACAGTGTTCCCTGCTTTCCCCTCTCACCCCTGATAACCAACAAAGAAAATTTCCTTCCATATATAAACCTTTCTTTGACTTTTTACAGTAATGGACTATACAATATCTGTCCTTCTATGATTGACTTATTTCACTCAGCACAGTGTCCTCCAAGTTCATCCACATTATGCAATGTTTTCCAGATTCCACATTATTCTTTAGGGTTGCATAGGATTCCATTATGTTTATGTACCATAGTTTGGTTATTCATATTTCTGTTGATGGGTGCCTAGGTTATTTCCATCTTTTGGCTATTGTAAACAGTGCTGTGATGAACATGCTGTGCATACATCTGTTCTTGTCATGGTTCTCACTTCTTTAGGATATAACCTAATAATGGAATTGCTGGATCAAATGGTATTTCAAATTCCAACATTTTAAGGAATTGGCATACTGCTTTCCACAGTGGTTGTATCATTTGACAGTCCCACTAGCAATGTATGAGAGTCTCGATCTCTCCACATCCTTTCTAGCATGTGATATTTTCTGTCTTGTTGAACTTTGCTACTAGTCCTGGGGCAAGATGGTATCTCCTTGTTGTTTTGATTTGCATCTTTCTAATGGCTAATGATCGTGAGCATTTCTTCATATGTTTGTTGGCCGCCTGAATATCCTCTTTGGTGAAGTGTCTATTCATGTCTTCTGCCCATTTTTTAATTGGATTATTTATCTTTTTGTTGTTGAGGTGTTGGTGTTTTCCATAAATTTTAGAGGTAAGTTCCTTGTCAGATATTTCATTGCTGAATATTTCTTCCCAATCTATAGATTCTTTCTTCACTCTTTTGGAGAAATCTTTGGAAGTACATACATTTCATTTGTTTATTTGGTTTCAAATTATCTTCCTTTAAAATTCAGGTGAAAAATAAAAAATACATTTGCAATTTTTTTATGACCTGTTCAATTTCTTCTTTTGTTATGGATCTGTTCAACTTTTCCACCTCAGTCTGTGTTAGTTTAGGTAAGTAATGTGTTTCTAGAATCTATCCATTTCTTCCAGATTTTCAAATCTGTTGGAGTGCAATTCTTCATAGTATTCTGATTGTATCCTTTTTATTTCAGTTGGTTCCATTGTGGTGTCGCCCAATTCATTTCCTTTTTGTGTTATTTGTATTCTCTCCCTCTTTTCCTTTGTTAAATTCACCAATGGTTTGTCAATTTTATTAATCTTTTCAAAAATCAACTTCTAGTCTTGTTGATTTTTTTTATTGTCCTTCTGTTTTCTGTTTCATTGATTTCTGCTTGAATCTTTATTATTTCCTTTCTTCTGGCGAGTGTAGGCTTTTCTTGCTGTTCTTTTTGTAATTGTTGGAGATTTTGTTTTAAAGTGTTGATTTTGGCTCTTTCTCCCTTTTTTGATTTGTGCATTGAGTGCTGGCCTCTGATCACTGCTTTTGCTGTGTTCTAAAGCTTTTGATATGTTGTGTTTTCATTCTCATTTGATTCAAGGAATGTTTTTCATTTCATTTTTTATTTCTTCTGTTACCTAGTCATTCTTAATGAGGGTGTTGTTCAGTTTCCGTGTGTTTGCTCTTTTTCCATTGATCTTCCTATTGTTGATTTCTAATCTTATAGCATTGTGATCTGAGAAGATGCTTGCAGCATTTCAATGTTATTAAATTTATTAAGGCTTGCTTTATAGCCTAACATATGGTCTATCATGGAGAATGTTCCGTATGCACTGGAAAAGAATGTATATTGTGCTGTTGTTGGGTGAAGTGTTCTGTAGATGTCTATAAGATCAAGTTAGTGAATTGTATTTTTTAGCTCTACTCATCTTTTTTGAATTTCTTTCTAGTCTTTCTATCTTTCATTGACAATGGTATATTAAAGTCTCCTACTGTGACTGGGGAGTGATCTATTTGCCTTTTCAATCCTGTTACAGTCTGTTTTATGTATTTTGGAGCTCTCTCATCAGGTCTATAGATATTTATTATGGTTATATCTTGTTTGACTGATCCCTTAATCATTATATAATGTCCTTCCTTGTCTCATATGGTGGTTTTTGTCTTAAAGTCAATTTGATCAGAAATTAATATCACCACTCCTGCTCTTTTTTGGTTGCCATTTGCTTGATATATCTTTTTACAACCTTGGATTTTTAGTCTATTTTTGTATTTGTTTCAAAGGTGTGTCTTTTGTAGACAGCATATTGATGGGTTATGCTTTGTTATCCAGTCTGCAACTCTCTCTTTCTTGAGTGGAACATTTAATCCTTTGAAATTCAGTGTAATTATTGACAAGTATGAATTGGTTGGTATCATTTTGTTATGTGTTTTTTTCATGGTGTTCCTGGTTTCTTTGTTCCATATAATTTTCTGTGCTAAGCTCATTATGTTTCTGAGTCATGTTATCATTTCCTTTGTTGCTATTGTTTTAGTAGTTGCTAAATATTTCTGCTAGTCCTCTTTTTTATTGTGATGTGAAGGTTTATCATCTTTCTTTGAGGTTACTCTGTGATAACAGATCTGTCCTGGAGGAAGTGCAGCCAGAATGCTCCTTGGAAGCAAGAATGGCCAGACTTCATCTCACCTATTTTGGTCATGTTGTAAGAAGGGACCATTCCCTGGAGAAGGATGTCATGCTTGGTAGGGTGGAGGGTCAACCAAAGAGGGGGAGGCCTTCAACGAGATGGATTGACATGGTGGCTGCGACGATGGGCTCAAGTATAGCAGGGATTGTGGGGCTGGCATGGGATTGGGCAGTGTTTCGTTCTGCTGTGCATGGGGTCGCTATGAGTCAGAAACAACTCGACGGCACTTAACAACAACAACAACAACAATTCTGTGGTTTACAATTTCCTCCCTGACTTTAAAACAGTCCATTCTATCTTGCAACTCTCTTGGCTTCCTCACCACTTCAAAGTTCTATAACTACCCTATTGAATTAATTTCTTCTAGACCTTCACTTATATGTGATGCCATTGAGAAAGCAGACTTTGCTTTATAATGGGAAAATTTTCTTAGTCAAGTGTTCTTGAAATTCTATATCTGTAATTCATGAATGATATGGCCTATCCCATGAAGAGAGCATTCTGGTGATGCAGTGGTTATGGCATTCATCTGCTAACCAAAAAGTTTGGCAACTTGAACCCACCAGCTGTTCCACAAGAGAAAGTTGAGGTAGCCTGCTTCCGTAAAGATTTACAGCCTTGGAAAATCTATGGGAGAAGTTCTACTCTGCCATGTAGGGTTACTGTGAATAGGAATCAATTTGATGACAGTAGATTTTTGTTTTTCATCCCATGAAGACTTGTGTTCCAAGCTACTCAAGTCCATGCTTTTTTGAGAATAAGATGATATGCCAAGTTTTAGAGAAGTTGTGGTATAATATCTTATTTTGAGAGAGGTTTAACAATGAAAATCTTTGAATTTCCTTTCATATCTTGAATTTGTGAGTATGTGATTTGCACATCATTCATTTAAGTGCTTTTATTTATATAACGAGGTTAATAATAGTAATTGTGTTTCAGGGTTGTTATGAGAATTACTTTTTTCATTTTCTATTTGTTTTTTAATTTAAGAATGATTTATTAAAGTCCTATCATGTGTTGTTATTTTAAAAAGTGATGGAGATGAAAGATTAATTACATAATAAAGATTTATTAAACAGTAATTGCTATTAATATTAATAATTTCCAAATCTTGCTAAAGATAGATATCAAATACAAATAGTAGTATAAAGAAAGTAAAGATTACTTTGATCACTGCATAAACTATGCTAACTTGAAGGCTAAAATACTGGTTCAGTTTCACTGTTAAAATGAGTCAAGTTAAGAAAGACTCTACTGATTATTTATATAGAGAGCCCATGACATCATGAACTGATCGATCATTAAATAGTCTACTGAGCTATAGTTCATTCAATACTTGGTTCATACTGTCTACTCTTAGACAGCACCTTTCATCTTCAATTCTAAGAGAAAAAACAAAAAAAGATGTTCAAACTGCTCTTCCCACACTTCTTATCTACTTGGGGGTTAATTTTAGTGACAAAGAAAGTATATTTACTGGAGTGGCCTACATATAAGATTGAGTTGAGTTTTCAGAGTTCACCATAGGTGAATGTCCTTTCAGCTTTTCATGGCCAAGTGGTAGAGGATTCATTGGAACTGAACAGTACTGTCATTTGGTCCTACACCGAGCCATCTGAAAGCTGCTCTCTACTATCTGACATGCTCTAATGCCAGAAATCACACTTAGGTTTTCATTGAGCACCTAAACTAGCTGACAGTCAAGGAATCAATGCATCCTGATTCACAGTTCAAACCTGCCATTAGTAGGAAAGTGACACTAAATACATGTTTCTTTACAGGACAGTGCAGAATTGATCACTTCCCTGCTTCACAGTGGAGCTGATATTCAGCAGGTTGGGTATGGTGGCCTCACTGCCCTGCATATTGCTACGATAACTGGTCACCTAGAGGTAAGTCTCACCTTTGTCACCTTTGAAAACAAAGGTTACCTGCTTACTTGGATTCTTGTTCTTAACTATTTTCATGTGGTAAATTTTGAGATTCTAGGAGCTGGCTTATTGATTACCCACTGAACACACACATCTCTTTGCACTATCAGATTTAGCTGTATAAATATACTTTTGATAATTAACTCAGTCCATTTTGTAACAGTGTAATCAAACATTGATTAATACAACAACAACTGGATATGCATGTACAGAGGCTTTTTAGCATAGTAATAAAATCATAGATTGAAGAGTCATGCAGTTCAGATTTAACCACTTATAACATTACTCATGGTCAAGCTTTAAATCTCATAATGTCTGTGTCATTCAATTATAAAATAAGCATAGTAATACATCTATTGTAATGATTAAATTGTTGTATTCAGCTGTCATTAAGTCAACGTCATGGCAATCCCATGCAAAATGGACCTTTGTGATCCATAGAGTTTTCCTATGCTGATTTTTTTAGGTCATTTTTCCTAGGCTGTCTTACTATAGACCCTGCTGAAACCTGTTCTGCATCATAACATTATGCAAGCTCTACTGACAGGTAGTGGCTGTGCATGAAGTGCATTGACCAGGAATCAAACCCAGATCTCTTGCACGGAAAGCAAATATTCCACCTCTGCACTGTCTTGCTTCCAATGATTAAATTAGAGAAACAATATAAAGCACTCTGCAAACAGCTTCATATAGATTAAGGGTTCAATGAAAGTTTATTCATTTGTTCATTCATGCCAGAGTCCCTGAGTGGTGAAAGTGGTTAAATGCTTGGCTGCTAACCAAAAAGTTAGTGGGTCAAGCCTACCCAGTGGCACATTGGAAGAAAGGCTTGACATTCTACTTCCAAAAAATCATCCATTGTGACACATATAAGGTTGCCATAGTGAGAATCAACTCTATGACAACCAGTTAGGCTTTTTGGTTTATGATATGATAAATATTGTTCTAGATGCTTGGGGGACAATAATAAGAAAGACAAGCAAAACTTCTGTTCTCATGAAGTTTAGATGTAGAGAATGATTCAAGCAATAATAATAAAAAAAGGAATATAATGTCTATTAATAATGAGTATTAGAAAAATAATAAAATAAGGTAAAATGAAAACATAGTGAAGAAGCAGATACAATTTTAAGAGGCCTGCATAGTGAAAGCCTTTGAAAGGAGGTGATGTTGGAGCAGATATCCAAACAAAATGAGAATGGCATCCATGTAAGAGGGAAGAAAACCATTTCAAGACTCAAAGAATAGCACACAAAAAGATACTGAGGCAAAAAGGAGCTGGGTATGTTTGAGGGATGTGAGTGAGCCAATGTGATTAGAGTGGAGGAGCTAGAGGTAGAGAGGTGGAGATGAGGCCAAATGGATCACTACAATCCAGATCACGAAGAACATCAAAGGCCATAGGAAGGACTCTGAATCTTGTCTTATGTTTAATCATCAAAATATTGATTTTAAATCTCATAGTACGTAAAGAATGAATGAGAATAAATATGAAAAAAAATTAATAAGGAAGACTGAGGAAGAGTTGATATTTTTGAGTTGTGGGGTTGGCAAAGAATACTGAAAGTACCATGGAATGCCAGAAGGACAAGCAAATCTGTCCTGGAAGAAGTGCAGCTGGAATGCTTCTTGGAAGTGAGAAGACTTCATCTCACCTGCTTTGGTCATGTTGTCAGAAGGGACCATTCCCTGGAGAAGGATATCATGCTTGGTAAAGTGGAGGGTCTGCAAAAAAGGGGAAGACCCTCAATGAGATGAATTGTCACAGTGGCTACAATGACAAACTCAAGTATAGCAAGGATTGTGTGGCTAGCACACTACTGGGCAGTGTTTTGTTCTGTTGTTCATAGGATCACTATGAGTTGGAGCTGACTTGATGGCACCTAACAAAAACTGCAACAGCTATTCAAAGCATTTCCATTTGCAATATTTGGTTAACTTCAGAAATCTTAATGCAATGGTTTCTAATACTACTGCCATTTGATGATATAAGGTCAAGGCTCTCTCTCTCTTTTTTTTTTTTTTAATTGTCTTCCCAAATTACAAAGCTAACGAGAAAAAAGCCAGACTAAGGTCCTAATCATTTTACTCAAAATCCCATGATTTTCACACTCTTTTGACTGTGGTAAAACCATACATGCCAACAGTGTAAGATATGAGAAGCTTTACTTCCTCATTATAAAATAATTATTTATTTCTCCCATTTGTTCATGCTACAAATTAAACTGTACACAGAAATACACATAAGCACACACCAAAAATTACCAAATATACACAAATATAATTGTATATAAACTTGTATATAAAACCTATAAAGTGGATGTGATCTCTCCAAACAGTGCCACTTTGACTATTACTTTCAATAAGTACAAAATACTTCATTGAGAGCAAAACAGTTTCTTCCTTCATTTTGGCATTCTCATCCCTAACTATATATCTTCTTCTTCTTCCTGTTGTCAGGTGCCGTCAAGTTGATTCCAACTTATAGTAACCCTATGTACAACAGAGCAAAACACTGCCCCCCATCATTGCAGCCATGGGCTGTATCAATCCATCTCGTTAAGAGTCTACTTTTTTTCTCTGACCATCCACTTTGGTGAGCATGATATCCTTTTCCAGGGACTGGTCACTTCTGACAACATGATCAAAGTAGGTTTGGTCATTCTTCCTTCTTAAGGCCATTCTGACTGTACTTCTTCTGGGATAGATTTGATGTAAATATAAATGAATTTTATGATGAAGAGGAAATCCCATTAGACTTACTTAAATATAAATGTCTTCCAAAAAAGAAATGTTATGAGGCCAGTGATAAAGCACCAAACATTAAGAAGGCTAGGTGGAAGAACTGAAGAGGCAGGCACAAAGCCCCAGTGAAACACACTCTACCTATTAGTGCCAGGAAAATGACAGAATATGTTTTATAGAACTGAATCCTTTTTGGCCAGTATTAAGCTGATTACATTGTCAGTGATAGAATTACAACAGGGTCAAAAACAAGGTTATGAAGAGCTTGCTCTCTTCATCTTCTATTCAAATAGCTCTATTTTCTTATATTGCAAATCATAGTATGGAAGGAAATATAATATCAGTTCTACCAGCCTTAGGGCAACCTTTACCAACATAATTCCAAATAGGTCTCTACTCTTGTCTCACAATTCTCTATGGGTTCTCCCATTTCCCTCATTAGCTGATGTATAACATTTAATGACTTTTATAGTCAGTCACTAATGCTGCATAAAACAGGTGTAGATACATTAGCCTTTATTCTCTTCTTCCATAATGGACTAATTAAGTTACTGATCAAATAATAAAGGAAAATGGTATTACAAAAACTTATCTAAAAGCATCACATTCTCAGTGCATCACATTTTTTCCTTTCAAAGCTATTAATTTTCTGTTTCAAAGCTATTAATTGTAAGAAATACTCCTTTTCAATATATTTTCCCCCACATTTTATGAATACTTTGAGCCTCCACTTTGTCCACTGCATAGTGCTAAAGATGGGAATGATACAAGCGAAAAAGATAGTTCTACCTCCTAAAAACTTTATGATGCAGTAGGGGACACAAAATGATTATACAAGAAAAATATATAAGCAATTCAAAAGCTAAATAGCAAAGCAAGAGAGTCAAAAGAGAGACAAGGGAATGGGCTTGATAGTTAGGAATAATTAGGGATATGATAATTACATAGAAAGGAATGCAAAAATAACACAAAATTGTTGTTGTTGTTGTTAGGTGCTGTCGAGTTGGGTCCGATCCATGGAGACCCTATGCACAACAGACTAAAACACTGTCTGGTCCTGTGCCAGCCTCACAATCCTTGCTACACCTCAGCCCATCATTGTAGGTACAAAAAGGAAGGCAAGAATGAGGTTAGCACATTCAGGGAAGAGTGAATAGGTTGATAACGGGAAAAATGGATTTATGAAGAGGATTTTCTACAGGTAAATTCGGGATGTTAGGAATGGACATCTCAGGAAAGTTTGAAAGTAGAATCTGAGGAGTTTAATTCAGTTCCATAAACAATTTCTATTTCTATAATTTATCATGTGCAAAACAGAAAGCTAGATATTGTGATAGATAAATGTAATAATACTCACTGCCAATTGAGTCAATTCTTTGGGTTTCTGAGGCAGTATCTCTATGGAAGTAGATCACCCAATCTTCTTTCCAAGGAGTGGCTGGTGGGTTTGAACTGCCAGCTGTCTAGTTAACAGTCAAATGCCTTAGGCACTATAACACCAGAGCTCCTAAATATAATAGCACATAGTATTTTTCACTCTTTAAAGATATTTACAGACAATAAGATTTTCTATAGAACATAAAAAACCATTGAGATTTTTTGACTAGGAACTGATTTAATATTTGATAAACTAGTATATTAAAGAACATTTCCTTAACAACATTGTTTAATATAAATTCCAGGGTAATAATATAAGGATGTTTAAAATGACAGAATTGGGTAAAGTACTCACATTGGAAGAAAAATAAATTAGCTTTTATTGTTGTTGTTGTTGTTGTCAGTGCCAGTGAGTTGTCTCAAAATGCTTTCTGGTCCTGCACCCATGCTCACAATCGTGACTGTGCTTGAGCTCATTGTTACAGCCACTCTGTGAATCCATTTCATTTAAAGGTTTCTCTCTTTTTTGCTGACCCTCTACTTTACCACACATTATGTCTTTCCCCAGTGATTGGCCCCTCCTGATAACACATTCTCACTTCTAGGGAGCATTCTGGCAGTACTTCCTCAAAGACAAATTTGTTCATTTTTCTGGAAGTCCATGAATATATTCAGTTAGCTTTAGATGTTCTGATGTTCTGATAACATTCAAATTTTCCAGTGAAAATATTCATTAATCATTTGGAAATATAAAGCTGGCATTCAACATAGAAATTTTAGTCTAATACAAGTTTTTGCAAAAGACATATATAGAGATGATATTTGAATATAGCAATAGC